TGCTTCGCATCATCTTCGAACCCCAAACTTTCTAGACTCACAGCAGAGCTCCCTGCAAGGGCAGGAAAATGAAAAGTCCGGTGTCTTGCAGAGGTGTCCATTTGCAGCTCTGAGATCCAGCAGTGGAACAGAAAACAAGCGGACTGTCGATTCTTCAACCACCTCTCTTAGGCCTTAGGCCCCACTGCTAAACGAAGAAAAAAGCAAGGTTCGTCGCCATGTGAATGCATCCTGCGCTCCGATGCGAAGCTCAAAGGAGCCCGGCCTCAAAAGCGGAACGGGATCCGAAACGCAAGGGAGGTGTTGGTTCAAGGAACTTTTGGGGCTCGGAAACTCTGGGGGACTCCATGAAAACCCTTCTTTTCCACGAGGAGCAGGGTCACAAAAATCCCACTGCCAGAGGAAAACTGACGGAACGCAAAACGAGACGGGCCCCACGCCTCGGACGCGCCTGGGCACCTCGGCCAAAGCGGTCGGTCCTGTGGCCTCAACACCTTTGCCCGGCTTCCGACTAATCTTCCCCGGTGCTCTGCGGCATACCACGAAGCTCAGACCCTCACGGCGCCTAGCAGAAGGCTGCGGGATCATGCAAGGTCGTCCAAAAAGAAATGCAGTCAGAAGCACACAAGACTGCACAAGCCCGTTTCAAACGCAAAACCGTACTTTGCTTGAAGAAGACGCCGCCACGAAACCCGCAATGCCACACCTGAACCGGCGAGAGACCCTAAAACAGTCGAAACCCTCGTGCTCACAGCCCACAGTCTTCCGATCGGGCGCAATGCCGGAATGAAGAGCTCTCTTTAGGCCTCCTTTGAAGGCGGTGCGGGGCTTGCCTGCACAAGTATCCCTCAATCATCGAAGCAGGGGCTAGTGGTCTACGCGATGTGTTTCAGTACTTCTCGATCGAGAAAACTGTAAAGACTCGGTGAGTCTATGACTCTGTGCGTGTGCTTTTGGATTCTTCCGGCCAGGTTGTGTCAATTGCGAAACTCAATCTGCGAAAAGTTCCAACCATAGGTCTAGCTAGTGGTAGCAGTGTGAATGGGCATTCGCGGTATTAGAAGCTTGAATAGGATTAGCAACATTGGGAGTACCGTTACCACAGATGGCTTTCGTTCATGTGCCCTTATCGGCTAGCGACCGTCGCATTCGTTATGGAATTGCTGATTCGGGATTGCTGATTCGGGTACGTAGTAGTAGCCAACAGTGGCTGCAGCAGCAGTTGCACTATTCAGTGTGGCTGCTTTTCTAGCATGAACCATTGGTAGTTTCACAGATATGCCGGTGGCCCGCCAGGTCGTAGTGCTCGCGTTGGTACCGTCACCATCTATCTATCTATCTATCTGTCTATCTGTCTATCTCTCTCTCTCTCTCTCTATGCACATATCTATCTATCTACCTATCTATCTACCTACCTACCTACCTGTCTATCTACTTATATATATATATACACATATATATAGGTATTTATATCTATATAAATAGAGAGAAAGAGAGAGAGAGAGAGAGAGAGAGGGAGAGAGGCAGAGAGCAGCAGCACCTCATCTCGAGTTTGGACAGTTCAGGTCTCTTCTGTGCCAGCCAGGCCTCGTTGCCAGTCATAGCGGCCTATGCAGGCGATGTTGGTGCAACCTTGACCTGGAGCATCCGCGGACTGCGATTAAGTTTCGAGGTTCTGCGGATGCCACATTGGAACCCAAACCCGGCGCTGGCACCCTTGCACCACCAGCATGGAAGCATCAACACATCTTGGATGTCATCGAAAAGGCTGCGATATCTACGTGCTTCGGCTACGGCATTCCTGAAGCCTCACCATGCGATTACCCTCAAATCCTCGAAAAACTCTGCTAATGCAAACTCAAAAGGCGTCTGCTGAAGCCAAGCAGCAAGAGAGGTTTCAGCCTTGCTTTCCATGCCTTGTCGCAAGACTTCACAGCTTTTGGACTTACTTTGGACACATGTCATCGTGTCAATCCACAAGGTCCATGTCGCATCCACCGGCACATGAACATGCGTTGACCCTAGCGGCCTATCACCTCTATATCTATGAACGAAAAACCTAGCTGTATGCGTGGACATAAGGCTTGCATGAACGTCGGGTATCTGCACAGACGAACATGCAAGCATGCATTTATGTGTATGTATGTACATGTCTGTTTCTGTGTCTTGTCTCTCTACGCATAAGCAATGTGCGTAACATGAGTCTGCAAGTCTGTATATAGATATTAAAGGCATCTAATTGGTGAAAGGTAACGTAAATTTTTGACAACGGACTCGACTGCTGCCCTTACTGCCCAGCTTAATCTAACGTGCATATAATATAGACGTATATCCCTGACACTATGTGCATATACATATTGCTTTTGATATTCCTGTTAGCATCAGCATCAATGCTGGTACTAATGTCAGTATTGCTACACATTCACATGAACCCAAATGCATGTAATTTTTTCATGCCTAGTTATTTCACGTACATACTTACAGACCGATTCACATGCATACCTGCCTACATACCTGACATACCTGTACTATACAGACATCGCCACACACATATGCACATAGCACAAACATTGCTGCATGCCTTTGCAACTAACATATCAGACAGGGCTGGCCCTCACAGAAGCATACAGGAGGGTCCGATAGCTTCTTCACACCCACCTCCACCTAGCTTCGCAAAGCTGCAAAGTTTACCCTCCTCCCCTCTCTGAGCATCATGCTGTAGGCTTTGACCGGAGAGTGCTTCACAGCGTCCAGCCCTACATCTTGGTCCTGTCTGTCGCATGGCCGAGGTGTTGCGCCAGAGCATCACAACACGTCAGCATGTACATCTACAATCTACGTTTACTGTAGCAACAAAAACAGCACACAGCACACATAAAAGCAGTTTGCACGTGTACATAAACAATGACGTGTAAATACATACATAGATACATACGTACGATGTTTGACTACCTGTATATTGTATAATAGACTGTGCCTTCCGACCAACTGCAAGCACAGCTATATACTGGTAGATGACGCATAGATTCACAAAAAAAACTCGCATGAACAGGCACGGATACTCAGATACGTTCCTACATACAGCATACATCATACGCACATGCATACTACATACACAAGTGCATACACAACTGCACACAAGCTTACAGACAGAAGCACTATGGTATACACGAATGAGCCACACTATGTATGCACCCAGTGATCTGTGCATTATTGACTCAAGCTCAACTGTGTTGCTTGTGCCTGCTGGTGTATGCTCAACACGGGTGTGTTGTACTCTTCCAGGAAAGCCTGCTTGCGTGCGAGTCAGAGACCACCCCATCTCTAATCTACAACCTTGAAACGGAGAAGCAACGAAAACCAGAGACAGCTAAACACTCAGCCCTGAACCGATTGCCTCAAACCCAGAAACCAAGCTTCGGGGCCCTGCACACAAAGGCCCCAAAACGCACGTCCAAGGCTTCCTCGTCCGGCACCCGGAGGAAACCTGACTGCAGACCGTCCACTATCTTTGTGTCCTGTTCGTCATGCTGGTTAGTCTAAACATTATTGTGCGGAGTTGCTACCCTCTTCTCGAGTCGCATGCTCGAAACACAAATGTTCACATCGCTGACTTACTTCTCTTTCACTGTCACTTCGGCTTGGGTTGCTGTTCCAATTAACTTAACCCGTAATCGAAACTAAAGGAACAGCATTATGGGGCAACGAGGATTGGGGTAACAGTATTATGAAAAGTACTGTTGGTGTTACGAGGTGGGTAGGAGGAGTAATTAGGGGCCGGGGTGCGTGGGTGGCCACTATGGTTAGGAGTAGCACTTAGAACTGGTACGACAAGAGATATCACATACCTCATAATGCTGGTACCCGTGGCCGCTACGGTTAAGAGTGTTACGACTCTTGTTGCACTACCTACCTTCCACCACTACTACAACTACTACCACTCCTCCTCCTCCTACGACCACCACGACTACTACCACTACTACTACTACTACTACTACTACTACTACTGCTACTACTACTACTACTACTACTACTGCTGCTCCTAGTACTACTTCTACTTCGGCTGCTACTACTACTACTACTACTACTACTACTACTATTATTACTACTACTACTACTACTACTACTATTATTACTATTACTACTACGACCACCACTACCACTACCACTACCACTTCTTCCACTACTACTTCTACTACTACTACTACTACTACTACTACTACTACTCCTACTACCTACTCCTACTCCTACTCCGACTCCGACTCCGACTCCTACGCCTACGCAAACGCCTACGCCTACTCCTACTCCTACTCCTACTACTACTACTACTACTACTACTACTACTACTACTCCTACTACTACTACTACTACTACTACTACTACTAGTACTAGTACTAATACTAGCACAACTACTATATAATACTACTACTACTACTACTACTACTACGACGGCTTCACTAACCAATACACGGTAGTTCCAATGATAGAACTCGTACCATGCCGATTCTAGGGAACAATGATCATGTTCCCTCATGGACCCTCCCCCACACCACCAAGACCACTCATCCTCTCGAAGAACCTCCCCCTATCATCCACGAAGCCAAAGCACTCAAACAATTCAAACCAGTCGCACAAGAGTCATTGAGTTGTGAAAGGGTGCACCGCTGGTTTGCTCGAGCCCCTTCACAGATTGCCTATGTTGAAGATCAGCAATTCTGCTCCAAGCGGCCACTGAAACGGAGCGGAAGGAAGATCAGGGCCGTCCTGGGAGTTGCAGGGGTTCTTACGCTACGACCAGACCTCCGGAAAAGACGAGGCTCCAGAAGCCGGACCACAGCAAGACCATGACGACCTCCAGCAGGTTCGCTGCGAAGCCCTCTCCGTTGGCACCGGACTTGCAGCCGGTAGTTCCCGCAACACATCCGAAGCCACTCCAGCCGTGATGAAAGTCGACGCCCTCGCCCCAATCGAAGAGCGCCGCAGCGATAACGCCCCATGCACCGCAGGCACCATGCACCGCAAAGGCATCGATGGGGTCGTCAACCTTCACCAACTTCAACAGAGAGGAAGCACCTTGATAGACCAAGCCACCAATAATTGCAATGAGGAAAGCACTGCCGCACTCCACGTTGCCACATGGAGCTGTGATCGAGACCAACCCTGCGAGGATGCCGTTGCAAAAGCCGCCGATGTCGTACTTACCGCGAGTCATTCCCAGGCGCAACAGGAAGACAACAAGGCCGCCGGTGGCGGCAGCGATGGTGGTGTTCATGGCCACCTGCGCAGCCATGAAGCCCTGGGCAACACCGCTCATGCCCAATGTGGAGCCGCAGTTGAATCCATACCAGCCGAACCACAGGATGAAGGTGCCCAGGGCGATGAGGGGCAGACTGTGGGGTGCAAACTCATCTGGATTCGTGAAGCGGCCCGCGCGCGGCCCTGCAATGATGGCCCCCATGAGTGCACCGACACCTCCGGTCATGTGCACAACTCCGCTGCCGGCAAAATCCATGAAGCCCACGCTGTTGACCGATGCAAGCCATCCGTACCCCCAGGTCCATGCGACAATGACCGGGTACACAAAGGCCTAGCGAGACATAGCGAGCAAGGAACGGAACAAGTACCGAGGGCCGTAGGCTTGAAGCTGTTGGACTGGTGGGCCGTGCTGAGGCCGCAGCAGTCATCAGGAAGGAGTAGATAAAGTAGCCAGCGAAGTTCACGCGCTCCGCCACACCACCGCTCACGATAGTGGAGGCTGCTGAGCCTGAGCGGCTGGGGCACACACTCTTACAGGCCAAAAC